CTCCGCCACTGATGGGAGGTGACCGTCCTCCGGCGCCGGCAAGGTCCGCCGCAATATCTAATACTAGCTTACAAAATGGTTCAAAAGCACGAGGATTAATTGTTCATTAGGTTTAGACAAAACCCAGATTGAACTAGACCAAAGTTTTGGGCAGTGACAATCAAATGGATCGATCTGATCCATAAAATCAAGATCCCGGTACAAAAGAAATTTAGCACTAAAATTTAGCTCTTAATGTGTCCATTTTTATGCAGAATTCATGTCAATATTTTTTGTTTATTTTTAATTCTGATTGTGTTGTTGAAGATTTCTACGGTTCTTTCGCCAAATTTACTTATCTGCATGTTTTAGGTCTTTTTTCCCCCAAAATGGCGGACAACGGCAGGTACCATGGTGTTCGCCAGAGGCCCTGGGGAAGTGGGGCCCCCAAATCCAAAACCCTGTCACTAGCAAGAAACAGTGGCTCTGCACGTTAGACTTCGCCGAGGAAGCGGCGTGTGCTTACGATGCCAAGGCGCTCGAGTACCAGGGGCGAAGGTCCACAGGATACTTGGCGCGCGAGTGATATAGCGCCTCCTAACATCAGGATAGTCTTCAGGGCCTAGGAGCAGCAGCACCGGAAGGCCGAGGCGCTCCTCAGGGCCGTGAACGTCAGAGTACCGATCCCTTGGTGGAAAGGTATCTTCGGGAGGATTCGCATCTGTACGCCATTAACGAGTCCTATGTTTTAGAAACAACTCCTATGTTTCAGAAACAAGACCTTAGTTGCAGAAAAAAAAACTTCATTTTGCCTCCTTGCAACAAACTAGTGTTGCGTTCGCTCCCTTTGCAACAAGAAGCATCTCGCAGAGAAAAAGAACCCCTTTGCAATCATAGGCCGTTCGGTGCCGCCATTTGCAACAACGTCGTTGTTGTAGGAACTCGTCTCGTAGCACCGCCGCTGGCGACGACGGTCGAACAAGGCGAGGATGGTGCCGGGGATGATCCCGCACACGCTGCCCCCGTCGATGCTGAGCACGGTGACGATGCTCCCGTAGGAGGGCGGCGGAGACCTGGGGCTCCCCGGCGACATCAAACGCACACCGCCGGTGAGCACCCGCTTAGCCGCGGGATTCATCTTGATCCGAGGCCTGCTCCTTTGCTCCGCCCCTGCCTCCGCCTGTTGCATGGATGGCATGGTTACGATGGACCTCGTGCAACCTCAAGCTAAGACCTAAGAAACTTTTTGGGTTTACAAAATTGCTCGGCTGGTTCGCTTTTGTGAGGATCGATTGATGTAGGATGGTGGTTCATGGTGCACGCTCGCAAGCCATATTTATATACCAGCGAGTTGTATCGGTCGGTCACTAGGAAGAAAAGTAATCGTGCTCGCCAGTGGAATTTTGAAGGGGCCAAAGACGCGGGGACGGGGCCGTGCGTGGAGGGCCGCGCGCACAAGATATGCACCGTGCACCTCCGCGGGCGATAACACTGGAGAAAAAATGATTCTAAATTCCTTTCAGTTTCCATCGACCAGGCTGGCATGAGCTCTTCATCCAATCGGGCGGTGCCACTAGATTTCGTGTGGCTAGAGTGGAGTATTTAACCAAAAACTACCACAATTCATGGAAACGTGACGAAAAACTACCACTTTACGTTTTTGTGCGAAAAACTACCACTTTTATCCTAAACCGTGGCAAAAAACTACCAACTCGTTTAACTGCTCGGTTCGGCCGCGCTAAGCCCGAATCTGACCGGTTGGGCCCACACATAAGCGGGCTAAAAATGCAATCAGGTCCCTACAAAAAACTTTTTAAAGCAATCGGGTCCCTGTAAAATAAAATAAAAAGCAATCAGGTCCCGCCGGCGAGCTCGCCAGCGACAAGCAGAGGCATGCGGCGGCGGCGGCGGCAAGCGGGAGCAACGGCAAGTAGCCGCGGTGGTGGAAGCAAGCAGCATCAAGCGGCGGTCGCGCATAGATAGCTAGCTCCGGCCGCCGCCGTGCGTGCGTGAGCTAGCCAGCTAGCTATCTCTGGCTGCGCCCCCGTCGCGATAGCTAGCTCTGGCTGCGTCCCCGTCGTGAAGTAGCAGCTTCGGCCGGCCTCGCACGCAGCCAGGGGGCTCGGCCAGGCGCGCTGCCACGGGCGCGCGGCCACTGGGCTCGGCCAGGCATGCGGACGCGGGCAGGGGCGCCGCCATGGGAGCGCATCCAGGGGCGCAGCCACGGGCGCGCGGCGCCACTGGGCTCGGCCAGGTATGCCGCCACGGGCGGCGGCGCGGAGGAGGGGGCCGCGGGCATGGCGGTGCGGCGGCGGGTCTAGGCCGGCGGCGGTGCGGCGATGACTGGAGGCCGACGGCGGGAGGCTGGTGCGGCGGTGGATGTTCGCCGGCCCCCGGCCGTGGCTGTGGCCAGCCAGCCATGGCACATGTCCCCTTTCATGGACTGGATTGCTTTTTTTTTTAAAAAAAACTAGGGACTTGATTGCTTTTTTACGCCGCTTATGTGTGGGTCCAACCGGTCGGATTCGGGCTTAGCGCGGCCGAACCGAGCAGTTAAACGAGTTGGTAGTTTTTTGCCATGGTTTAGGATAAAAGTGGTAGTTTTTCGCACAAAAACGTAAAGTGGTAGTTTTTCGTCACGTTTCCATGAATTGTGGTAGTTTTTGGTTAAATACTCGGCTAGAGTGAACCGGACACATGTTTTGTTCTTTACTCTTTTATTATTGATAATGAGCTAGAATGTTTTGGATGGGTAAAAGTTCCTACCATGGCATGACAATAGTTTCTACCCCACGAAAATGTATGGAGCATGCAGGAGCATGCTCCGTCGCCGGGCTGGTGTGATTCCTTCAAGGTGAAACCTCACTACAGGCCAGTTTCGGTCATTTTCTCTTGTTAGCAGGTACTCCTAGACGGGAGTGTCTATCTCGCGCGCGCGCGTTGCAGCGCTCGTTTTCGGACAGGCCTAATTTGGAAAGTGCCTTAGTTACACGGATTAATTAGGGGCGGAATAATTAGCAGCGGGCCCCCCTGAAAATCAGGGGGGGGGGCGATTAGTGTTGATTTGGGGTGGGGCCGACTCCCCGCCTTCGCATGTGTGCGCGCACAAAAGTCTCATGTGGTGGGCCCTGATAGAAAATCTGGTCGGCTGAAGTCTTGCGCTGGATTGGTTTCGCTCGTTGCAGCGGCCGAGCGTGAAGGAGTCTTCTCGCTCCTAGACTAGTTCAAAGCTGACTTGCTAGTCACACACAGGCCGGTACGTTCTGGCCGGTTGATGCATTTGTCTTGATTTGCAACCGATGGTTTTGAATTTGGAATGCTTATCTTTTTCCCCTGACAGTAGTTTCTCCTCCACGAAAATGTACCAAAGGATCGTACAGTCGTGCTTCCTCGTAGAGCGCCAAATTAAAAAGTTAAAAAAGAGAGCGCCAAATTACTAAGTTCATCAAAAAAGAGAAGAGGGCTAAACTCCTTGTAGCTTCGCTTTGTGAGACGTGCGTCGACCAATACAAAATATCAGATTCATACGTGTCAAATGTAGTAGAAAGTGACAGTAAACATTATTTGAGTTTTGATAAAGCTAGCCATGATGGCTTTTCCCAAAAAAGAAGTAGAAAGTGACAGTATTAGCCGCGATCCTTTAGCCCATACGGCTGGTTCTGCCTGGTATCTTCTTTTCATTTGCAACGGATGGCTTTGAATTTGGACTGCCAATTTGTATTGCAATAACTATAGCTGGTATTTTGACCTCCTTTTTTTTTGATACCCTACCCTACCTGGCTTTGCGTGACGATGCTATAAAATTACCACCGATCGAGCAGCACAAGGTTGTCAGAATCGCGATTTTGAATCGGATCGGAGCTTCAATGGTAGGATCGCAAATCGTAGAATCTTCACTATCAGGATCTTAGAAACGTAGATTCTAAGAACTAAAATCGTAGAATCGGAGGGGTTAGTTTGGATCGTAAAGTCGTAGAATCGGACGATAGAATCGAGATTCTGACAACCTTGAGCAGCAGAGAGCACTGGGGCTTTTTTTCTTCTGTGGGTGAAATATTATTACTCACGTCGACAAATTCAAACAATCAATCGCAGCAAGATTTGTAGCAACTAAAGGCCCTGAACCGAACCAAGTCATGGTTCTGCCTTGTAAACGAGCAAACTTAGCTAGACTATCACCGAGGCTTGACGGGTAAGAAGTCCAGTTGTGCTCCCTCGCCGAGCTAGCACCAAAGATTAGCTTCGCTTCGTGAGAGAACGTAGGTAGACCAAATACTAGTGTGGTTCCTTCAAGGTGAAACTTCACCGCTGGTGCTGGTCATATCAAAAACAAAATAAAAATAAGAAGTGACAGCAGTACTGGTATCGGTCGTGCTCTAGCTGTTTACAGCAGAAATTTCGTAGGCTCGTTCAAGGCTTCAACTTGACACACAAAATAGAGAGATAGGTTCTGTCTGACACCTTCGCCTGATATGCAACTTAGGTTTTGAATTCCTACAGAAAAAGAGAAAAAAAAACTGACAATTTTGAATTTGGACTGCTGAGTTTTTCCACGCAGGCCCAGGTAACTCGGGCAAACACAACGGGGGCGCCTGGACTTGGGCACCCACTGCTACAGAGCACCCGGCCCATGTACTACACAACATATGCTGAAGTTTTCTTGGGAGCATCCGCTGTTGTTT